TTTGTCGGATTGATTCTTGTTGAATTTCATTGAATAAATTATTGTTTGATTTTTACTAAATACTGTATATAGTTTATTACTAGAAGTTTAATTAAATATTTGATTTTGTTATTGACAAACTTTGTCATTATTTAATTCGGTGCACGCTTAAAGTCCAGGCCTGGCACACTAACGCGAATCCGCATAAAGTACCCGTTAGGGAACGGCTATTTCCGGCACACAGTAGTGTCGATAATCGTTGGAAAGTCGGAAAAATAAAATAGTACTTTACAACTGGATTGATGGATGCACAATATATGGCATTCCTTTAAGTTATTTTTACTAAAGAAGAAATCAGCCAATCTTTTCAATAAGCTGAAATACAAAGAATGAATATAGTGATTAAAGTATTGTAATAATGAAATTTAAAAAAGTCATGGATGGTTTGATTGGTTTTTGAGATGAGGACTGTTTCTTAGCTTAAAGGTTACTTACTGGAGAGAGTATTATTTTAGGTTGTGTATGTTATTTGGTAGGATTTAGTAGGTTAATTTTGAGTCTAGGAACACTGAAAAATATTTCTCATATGTAGTTAATTAATATACTGGAACTTTTTAATAGACAGTAACATGTACAAAAAACACTTCTCTTACTTACTCCAGTAAGTTTTATTCTGAATTAAAAATATTTTCAGCCACATTATATTTCAGAATAATTCAGAATTAAAGTTGCTAGAGTAGGTAAGAAAGGTGTTTTTGCGCATATCCAATGTCTGTTTTCCATATGAGTTAATGATAACTGTTTTTCACTATGCCATTTTGACTTATGAAGGTTCCACAGGAATGATCTACTTTTGGATAGTGAAAGAAACCTGTATATCACTAGTAGCCAAAGTGGAAATGAAAGTAACTTTCTGAAGAGCTGCTTATCTAGAATTATCATTCTAATTTCAACTTCATAATAAGCTTAAAGTGAATTAATAAAGTAGACACTCAATAATTTGAAACAGAAGGGACAAAAATTTCTGATGAAAAAACTCAGGGCTTTTTCATCAGAAATTTTGAAGATGTTTTTAGCCAAGGTCTTCAAAACTGTCATGTGATTGTATGCATGGTACTTCACATTGGTAAACAATTCCATGTTAGTAAAAAGTAAACAATTCCATCACCATTATCTTTCCCACAGACCAAACAATATACAGCCTGAACCTTGTTCTATGTGACTTTCTATTTGTTCCATCTGAAATTGGAACTGCAGAGTCAGTGTTTTAGTTCACTAGTGGCTGTTCTAAGAAGGTTCTGAAGAGGATGTCAAAACACAGTTACCAGAATGTCTTCCAAGACTGGCAGACACATTGGACCAAATTCATACAACTCAATGGAGACTAGTACAAAAAAGGCTGTATCAACCTGGATCCTGCCTAATATATTTTGTGAGTAATAAATCCATTCTTACTCTTTTTTGACTTGCCTTTGTATTTTGTGGAAATGCTTGATTTCTCAAACTTTCCAGAATTTCAGAATTCTGACTGTGCAATCAAAGATATAATTCTACACAATACCAATCTTCAACTTTGTGAGAATATAGTCTATTCCCTTGAAGATGCAAAAGAAAGTATACAAAATTATATATGAAATAAAATCTAATACCAAAATATCCTGAAAATGATCTATTACGTAGATACCAAAACAGCAAAAATTGTTTTTGATTTTTATTAATATTTCAAATAAAGTTTCCAGATCTTAAATTCTGAGTTAGTGAAATGTGATCTCAAAACTACTTCAACTTATAGAAACACAACATCCTCCTATGGAACCAATGTATTAAGTCAAAACAAAAATAAAATTCAAGTAAAAAAGTTTGACTTATTGAGAGTCTACTGTAATAAATTCAAAAAATAAAAATTAATAATGAAAATAAAATTTCATACAAAGATTGCAATACTCCCTCAGTTTGATTTTTGGTGACAAGACATGATTGTATGTCCATAAATTTCTATGTTAATAAAATATCTTAATTAATTATAACATTAAACATTGGTTTTGCTGTGTCACTGTATTTTACTATGGTAGTAAATAATTACATTATGCATATGTATCCTATTATTATTATTACTTTTTTTATGTTTAACTTATGATGAGAGTCCTGAAATAGAACTGTTAAGTTGGGGACTACCTGAATATTCAATTTTTATTAAAGTATGTACATTTCATTTAATATCACATTACATCCATTACATTTATGTCTTTATTTCTGTCTATCTTTTCTATTTAATATATTACATGCACAACAAAGCAAAAACAAACTAGAATTATTTAACTAATTAGTTTTTTTAAGTTAAACAATAAGATTATTAGCGAGGTTGAGGCCAAAGTTTTAAATGCGAAAATGTGTATGTCGGATGTTCAGTACCACTTTCCTGTAAGCCTAGAAGTTCGACAATGGTGTTTGGATAGTCAGTGGAATCATGCTCGGCATTCCAAACACCATTGTCAAACTTCTAGGCTTACAGGAAAGTGGTACTGAATGTCCGATGTACACGTTTTCGCGTTTAAAACTTTGGCTTCAACCTCGCTATTTTATCATTAACAATGCATGCAGTTCTTTATGAAATGTTTTTAAATTCAGTACTGTGTCCCCTTAGTAATTTTTATTGAAACATCAAAATTCATTTGATAGATTTAAAGTGAGCATAACCTGAAGATATAGAAGTTTACATTGTCATTGGTTTTGTAGAAGAGATTTAAGAATATTCTGGTCGCCAATATGTTAAAGTTTATATACTTAAAATTTCTTAACTTTCAAACTATTTCAACTTTTAGCAAATTTCATTTGTTAAAAGTCATGAGATTTCATGACAGAAATTTAAATGTTTTTTTTTTTATTAAAAATAACATTTAAATTCTATAATTTTTATGCCAGTCAAAAATTACTTTTATAAATGAAGTGCTTATTTTACAGGAAAACAACAATGAATTCAAATAGGTAACACTTACAGAATTTAATATTGAAGTCCAAGTCATCTGATGTTAAGAAGGAACATTAGAAAAAGAAAAACAATTAATATATATATTACATAACATGCAACCAATATGAATTATAAGAACAGCACTAAGCATTTCAATGAAAGTACATGTACTTATATGCTATGAAATTCTCAAAATCCATGAAAAAGTGAGGGAAATATAAATATCCAGATTCCATTGAGAATAATGACAATGTCTTAGGACATTTTTTACATCATTCAGAATAAAATGGGAGAAAATTTTTTGTGGATATTTTTTTAATAAGCTATTTCAAAACACTTTATAAACAATTCAAAATGAAATTTGTGTGATAAGAATTATTAGTAAAAACGAATATGTATTGAAAAAGAAAAGGAAAGAGAACTTGTCAATGGTAAGTCAAGTCAATTTATTACTTACTAATAATTATAAACACTTTACAATAATATTAAACATTTTCAAAATACAATAGTTAAACTCTCTTTGCAAAATCTAATTAAAAATCGCTAGTATATAAATGAATTACTATCACAGATTGTTCTATAAACTACATTGTCGGTGCAATAGGACACCAAAATAGTTATTTTGTATATTTTATCCTAAGGCAGCATAGTCGACTCACAGTCTTTGATATAATTGACACAATAAATGATTGTCGTTGACAAAAATCAGATGTATAAACAAAGAAACATATTTTGCATGGATAGAAATTTCATATTGTATCAAATTTGCATAAAAATAAAAATGATAGGCTAATTCAGTATATCTTGAATAACTACATAAAATTACTTTAAGGCCACAATAGTTCACAAATATGCATAGTTATTTGATTAGCACAAAAATAGCAGTTATATATAAACAGCATTAGGATGGATCACTGAGATGATTTGGCTACTTAACTAATAATTGTTTGTTATATTTTTGTTAATGATCAAGCCTCATATGATTAGTCTTCATTAGTCGTTCGTTCTTGGCTCACTTACCTCTGAAGAGCTTGGTCTTCATCCGACTGTATGGTATTTGATGGTCGCTGTGCTCGTAGAACTTCCCATATGGTAACCTGTAATATAATTTATATGAATGTACAGTACAATGTATCACTATAGTAACTGCATCAAAACTGATTCTTATATTTAGAATTCTGATTTGTACTTTATGTATTAGCTTAAAAAAAAAAAACAGAATTTTAAATTTTAAATTAATACAGTATNTTAAAAAAAAGTTAGCTAAGGTAGGATCGAATCTGATCGCCCATGTGGCGAGTTCGCTACAGACTCAGCCATTTCACTGTGCTGCCATAGTGTAAAATCAACCAGTATATGAGCTGCACTTAAAACTTTAGAGCCTTTTTTCTTGGAATCTTCTGGCTAGTGCGCCTTACAATTCTTCTGGGTGGACACCCTTGAGGTATACTACTAACCTGCAAAGTCTCATCCTGAACTGAAGTTCTGAGACCGTAAGGTCCCCTTGTTAGACAAATATAATTTATTTTATGCAGCACTTAAAATTTGTCTCAATCTCCTAATTAAATTCAAAAACGGATCCGTATGAAAATGCATATTTTATTTTCCATTTATTCAGTATCAAAATAGGGCAAATTTACACAAGTTACAACATATAAGGCACCAATCCCCTAAATAATAATAAATTTAAAACAAAGTCTTTAACTTTTAGTCTTGAGAGCAAAACACTATGATTGATTAGTTTATGTATAAAAAACTAGCACACTTAAACTGGAACTATATACTAAACCAACAACTTGACACCTAAATGCAAATTCCAGCATATAATGAACAAATAAAATTTAATGTTCAAACGTTTTTGGCTGTCTTTCAGAGGCCCTCATCAGGAATGAATGCACAAAACACGAAAAGAAAATTGGAACACAGCTGTTCGAAAATTAGAAATTTTCAAATGATACAACTGTTTTTTGTGTTTCGTGCATTCATTCCTGATGAGGGTCTCTGAAAGACAGCCAAAAACGTTTGAACATTAAATTTTATTTGTTCATTATATGCTGGAATTCTCATTTAGGTGTCAAGTTGTTGGTTTAACTTATGTATAATCTAGTCCTGTACTAAGCCTTAATCAAGAAACTAAATATTCGTATTTTTACAAATTAAATCATTCCTAACTCGTTTTCATTCTCATCAAAAAAGTTATTCAATTGCTCTATTTGTTTTATTTTGTAGCAGGTTCACATTATGCCAATAAACCCTTTACAGATAAGTTACTTTAAATAAACTTGCAATTTTATATTTTATATATATATTAGTTGTAATATATATATATATATATAACTGCAATTCATTGAAATATTTTACTAATTAGCTGAAATGATATTTTTATGAATTTCCGATTGCTGTCGATTTACATTAATCTCTATGACATTGTTTTATTTTAGATTTAGATCAGTTTTATAGGTTTTTTTCGTACAATTTTTAGTTTTATACTTCGTGGAGCTGAGTTCCGTTTTCGTAGAAAATACTTATTAAGATAAGATAAATTATTGTGACATCGTCACAATGTCCTAATTTTTAATCGTATTTTAATTTTTTACTTTTATAATAAATAAAAATATTATATTATTTAAACATTTAAAATATCAGATCACGTGAATATTGTACACCTTGGACATAGAGGATCGAGTGATATATTATTGATCTCAGTTTGTGGTAAGGATCTATTCTATACAAAATTTATTTCTCTTGGCATTTAGGTAAAAATTTGGAATGAAAATCATACCGGATAGAATAAGGAAAATACTAAATAAAAAAAAGCAGAACAAAAACTAAAGATAATTGGTAAGTAGATTTTATTTATTTTAATTATTAAAATATTAGAGAAGTTGCGGCCAACGTTTTCAACGCGAAAACGTGTACGTCGGACGTTCAACGCCGCCTTCCTGTGAGTCTAGAAGTTTGACAATGGCGTTTGGAACGTCAGCGGAATCGTGCTCGACGTTCCAAACGCCACTGTCAAACTTGTAAGCTTACAGGAAGGCGGCGCTGAACGTCCGACGTTCACGTTTTCGCGTTGTAAACGTCGACTGCAACCTCTCTACTATATCTGTAAGAATACTTCTGTAATGTCTCATTTCTTTAATAAATAACGCTGAATATAAATTCTAGTGCGTAAACTACTTGTTCGCTCGAAGAAAATTCAAGATTCAAACAAAAAGAGTTCTTTTGTAATGACACATGCAATTTTGGAAGTTTTCACAATAGAGTTGACATTCACGATTGAAAAGGAATGACTTTGCACTCCCGACCCACCGGTTGCCAAGTGGATAAAACTACTGAACCCTAGTAGTTGGTCGTGGGTTCGAGCCTCACCAGCGAGGCTGATCACGAGGCTGAGTTTTTCGGGTTTTTTTCACTCGTTTAGCCCAAATAGAAACCACATCCTCCAGGGATGCCTCTCCTCTTGGCAGATCGCCCATATTGCCGCATCCCACTAAACCAAAATTTGCACTTTGGTGTCATTTTAGAAAACTACCAAATATAATATTGGAGTCTCAAAATAATTACTGTTATCTCGTCGGTTTGACACGAACTTTTTTCAAAAACTCTAAAAACGAAAAATATAAGCAATCTTAATGCTGCAATGTGCAATGATTAAATATTGCCAGGTAAAATATGTTTTATCTATTAATTCTAGGAACAGATAATCAGTAGAGATAAAAGTGTGATACAAATATTATTTATTTATCTTTAATCTTAAGTTAAAAGGTTACTAATATGTGACAATTTTACTGTTTTAATATTAGTATTATAGAGTTTAATTACAGAAGATTCTTTGACAATTTTTACCTTTTATGTAGAAATGTTATTGTTTTGATACTGTTGCCTATTTAATAACACTTAAAATTTGTTATATAAGTTATTTTTTTACATATAAATTTACTAAATACTTCGTATATTAAAATATTAACATGTTTTACGTAACAATAACTGGTAACTTTATTCACGTTTAACTAGAATTGGGGTTCTCACCTACAGAACAAAAACAAAACTTTCTGCTGTTATTTTATAAGGTTAAAGAGAATTAATAATAAATTAAATAAGTAAATATTGACAATAAGACTAAATGAATTTCATACGGAGATGGCACCATTCATCAGTATAATTTTTTTTCTCTCCAAACACGGTTGACTAATCGTGTGTTTGTTCG